TCAAACCTCTTTATTAATGCCCTCCTAAGGGAGTTGAGAAAGTGACTCCTGATGACATACATGTGGCCATTGTAAACAGGTTCTACATCACACATTTCTTTCTCGAGAGAGACAAAATACATGGCCGCCGTAGACAGGTTGCCTTTACAAAAGGGTGGCTCCTAAACAGGTTTTTACTATATTCACCAACTGGCGCTGTATCTTACCGCACATAAATGTCGATCTGGGCGTGGCTGATCTACAAGAGCACATCAACCCAATGGCTGGTAGCGATATTAATACATGAAGTAGTATCCAACATTTCCAGCCTGAAAAATCCATGATTTCTCAACTTTGTCCGATGCAACAACACACCTTTTTTCCTCTCGTTGATAATAATCATCAATGATCAATTGCGAAAGAATTTATAAACCACTCAATTCACCAAGAAAACAAGAGGAAAGTGGCTCTTGTTAATTTAGCAATATGGAAACTTCGTCTCCAATATCGTGTATAGTCTCTGAATTCCAAACTGCAATATTTGTTTACTAAACGTTTCTACTTCTTAATGACTCAAATAATAAAGACCAAGTAGTTCCTAGTATTTAAAACAATCTTTATTAACACGTACGTCTATGCGGAAATAAGGATGAGCTAGTCTATAACATGTATAATAAATCATCATAAGAACAACTTCTACTGCACTTATAATCGCACTTGAAGTGTAATTCATCTTTTATTAGTTTATGTTTGATTATTTGTGGGGATTTAAAGGGTCAGTGATTTGCGAGAACAATCAATTCAAGGACGAAACTCAGAGCAGTTTTATTACCCATGAATGCAGAGCCCTGCGGTTGAATGAAATAAAAATGTCAACTAAATAATAATAATAATAATAAGGTATTTGTATACCGCAAATTGCAAATTGCCTCTAAGCGGTTTAGAAGAAAATAGCTGATAAGTAAAAGGAAACAGAAATTGCATTACAAATTACATCAATTTAAATTACCATTAAAACTAGTTGTTTGACGAGAATAAATACAAAGCTCAACATTTCTGGTTAGTAAAATGTAAATAATTATTATAATAATAATTATACTTGCCGTTATTGTTTTGGTATCCGGAACAAAGCTCTCACATTTACTGCGCTTGTTAGTGTTCTAGTTGGTTTTTATGGCGTTTTCCTTCCTCGTTGGATGATTTTCGCAGGCAATATGAGGGGGCGTATATATTTTCTGATCCTCTCTTAATTCGTATTTTTGCTTTGTTGGATCGACGGGTACCTTAATCAACTTTACGTATTTTTTTCAATTGGTTTTAAGTAATTAGCTAATTAATTCATTAATTTATTATATAGATATATATATATATATTTTTTTTTTTTTTTTTTTTTTAGGGGGAATTAACATTTGTATCCTGTCTTTTTTACTTCTGCTCCTCCACCTCTTTCTCATACCACTTCTACTACTACTGAATCTTAATGTTTATACTGGGTATGTCTGAGATGACAAATTTCCTTCACCTATGAATCTTTGTACACATACACCGATATTGTAGAAAGAAAAATGATGCGTATTCCTATATCTCCGGAAAACGTATATCAACCCCCCCCCCCCTCTCTCTCTCTCTCTCTCTCTCGTTTCGCCTCGTCCTCCTCTGTTCTTTGCTTTCTCTCCTCTTCTTCCATCTCTTCTCCTCCTCCCCTGCCCCCTCTCCCTTTATATCTCTTTAAATGTGCAATAAAATGATTTTAAACATTGGTTTCACGTTGACCTAATTAACTAGTTTCTAGGAAGACATTTTGAATAGGTGTAGGCATGTAAATCAAGATGACATTTCGAATTTATATTTTCATAAAAGGAAGTCGAACGTCACTTTATTTAGACCGAAATGGAGAAGAAGAAAAAAAACTTTTTCACACAGACGTAAACCTACGTTCCAATAACAAGCTCGTAGTATGCATCAATATATTTTTATAGAAGCAAAATGATATTACATGATAACAAACTCGTAGTATTCATCAATATATTTTATAGAAGGAAAATGATATTACATGCAGGGGCGGCGATTTCTTTTCATGACCGGGGGGGGGGGAGTACGATATTCATCAAGCGGGCCCTAAAGTCTGGCGTGGAGAAAGGCAAACTAGTGCAGACGAAGGGGTATGCGAGGAACGAGGGAGGAGTGACGTAATGAGCCAAAACGTTTTTTGGGGGGAGGGGAGAAAAAAATCCGCATCATCATCGCTCTTACATGTTACATGCAGGCCCCGCGGAACCGTTTTTCAAAGTTGGAGGGGGGGGGGGGGTAAAGTATTTGCGATCAGATAGAGCAAAGCAATTAAGTTGGTGTAACTTTGGCGTGGGGTCCAAGGGCAAAGCCCCGGCGAGGGTCAAGAGGCGGAGCCCCATGAAGCTCAGAGCTTTTAAGCATTCAATAAGGGTCAGATGAGCATATTTTGATACCTTATTTGTGACTCTCGCATGCAGGTCACTAATCGTACTGGGGTCCAGGGGGCGAAGCCCCCAGAAGCTCAGCGGTTTTAGGCATTTAATTACGATCAGATGAGCATCCAGGGGCCGCCTTATAGGGCCCTTGGTGGGGTTTAGGGGGCGGAGCCCCCGTAAGCTCAGGGTTTTAGGCTTTTGAATATGTTCAGATGACCATCCAGAGGCCCGCTTAGGGCCCTGGTGGGGTCCAGGGGGCTGAGCCCCCGGAGGCTCAGGTGTTTTAGGAATTTAATTATGGTCAGCTGAGTAACCAGGGACAAGCCTTAGGGCCCTTAGTGGGGTACAGGGGGCTTGGGGAAGATCATTAAAATCAGTAACACTTGTAAATTAGTAACTGGTATCGAATTAGAAATAAACCACGTTTGAATTTTATTTGTCTAAATGCTGCACTCTTGGGCCCTCCAAAGCTTAATAGTGTGTTGCAGTCTTTAGTCAGTATTTGCTGTACATTAATTTTGTGTGGGGGGACAATCCCCCCTACAAAAATCGAGGGGGGGGGGGGCGTGTCCCCCCCCCCCCGGGATCGCCGCCCCTGATTACATGGTTACTGCAAAAAACAGAACATCGAAAATGATAAAAGAATATGAAGCTTTGGGTTTCTTAATTCATGTTCCTTTTCTCCAAATCCCCAACCAAGGACATACATATTTCCCATTGCTTACAACACTCTTGCTTTTAATGTCATATTCCGTTTTTTCTCCGAGAATGACGGGACTATGTAGAGAAAATGTACACACTGAAACCTGGACATTAAGACTGCTCAAGGGAGACCAAAAAAAAAAAGCAAGTCTTTGCAGACAGGTGGTCCTTATCCTTAATAGCATATAAGTTTTGATGTTAAATGATTTTTAATGGCAACAAGAAATGTGGGATTTATTCACATATGGTCTTTAATATACAGGTTCCTTGAGTGTTCAATGTTTAAGGATTCGAGTCAAGGGAAACAAAAAGTGTATAGATAGGTGGTCTTTCTATACAGGTTTTAGGAGAGGAATATTGGTTTGTGCTCAATTCCCTTATTTAAATAGTCTGTAGCTCATCTCGGTCGATAATTGGAAGGGTGGTGATTTATTGATCACCAACAACATCGTTGTCATCTTCCTCTTTCCACAAGTGAACTTTAGCCCTAGTAATATCAGGTAATCCCCGTCAACTTATATATCATTATGATAATCTCATATTACGGGTAATCAAACCTCAATGCCAACATTCTTGTACAACTATGTTCTTCGTACGGTATAGCTAGAAATTGAACACAAGTGTATTTTCCACTTCCTTGTACGTATGCAAAGATCTTTTCCTAGAATAATAATACTCAGTTCTTGTATAGCGCATCACACATTACAGGATAGCATGTCCCTATGCGCTTTAAATAGAAAGGAAATTACAAGAAAAAGTCATACAAATTAGAAAGTCCACTTAGAAGCAAAGAAGTACAATTTAGTGTTGGACGCTGAGTTCATGGGTGTACATTTTTAACATTGAATAAATACGTTTTAAGAGAAACCTTAAACTTGTTTAAATTATTGTGATTTCTCATGGAATCTGGAAGTGAATTCCATGAAACAGAGGAACACGATCACAGAAATTTTCGCAAAATCAACTCAAGGGCATTTTCAATACCAATAACCCTATTGTAAATCCCATCGAAATAATATTGGAATTACGTAATGCATCATTCCCATGTTCACATTTTTTCAATCGGTAACGCACAAGGCTATTGAAAATTGCCCAATGTTCATTTTTCAAAAGAACATGTCACTATGAACATGACGGACAAAGAAATAGGACAAAATATACAGTCCCTCATTCTACCCCAACAATTGCATTATTGCATTATTGTAGAGCGCTTAGAGACTTCTGACAAAGTAAGTGTTAGGCGCTATATAAGCACTGTAATTATTATTATTAATATGCACGTGACACCTGTTCTACACATGTTTACATAGTAGCAGTGAAGGGGCGTTCCTTTGTCTACCACAGCAATTGTTGAGGGTGGAACGAGGAACTGTATATTTTGTCCTCTTTCTTTGTCCGTCACGTTCATAGTGTGTATATGTAGTTGCAATATTGGTGTAGGAAATATCCTTTATGTTTTCGTCGTGCGACAGAGGTATGAATGGTAAACAGAGACCTTATGAAAGGGTAGAGTTTAGATTAGATTATCGTACGACAATATCTTTCTAGAATAACTGGTGTAAGGGAGAGAGGGAGAGAGAGAGAGAGAGAGAGAGAGAGAGAGAGAGAGAAGGGGGAGTTGGGGAGGAAAGGAGGGGGAGAGAGAGAGAGAGGGGGGGGGGGGGGGGGGAGGTCGAGAGAGGAAGACCTTGGAATAAATGTAAGAATGTAATGCAAAATAAAAAATTCAAGGGAAACACAGAATGAGGAAAGGGGGTTGAGGGAGGATAAACATGAATGTGCAGGGTGGGGGGGGGGGGGGGGGTAGAAAAAACAAATACCGATACACTAAAGGGTCTGCAACACAAATGAAAAAACGACTGAAACAATATGCTGGATTTAAACATGTCATTCGACCTGTATTTCAATAATATCCGTCATTCAAAAGAACCATCATAAATATCATCATGATATTCACGACAGTCGGATTAGGTAAAACAACACAAACAATTTCCATATTTCACAATTTACATTAAGTCTTTGCAAAATTCTGTAAAATATGCCCACTCATGGAGCAATTCTTACCAATTTTTGAATGGTTTCCCATGCAAACTGGTCTCTTTTTCATCTTCCTTTTGTTCAACCTCAGGAACAATATTTAACTATTTTTTATATAAAGCAGCAGACTATTCTTACATGTTGTTAAATAACATATCATTTAAATTTTGTATATGGAGAGGAGGCAAAAAAAGCCAAGTTAAACATAGATGTACACAGATCCATACCGTGAAATAGATGCACATTAGATGCACAATTAGCCAGTAACTTAATAACACCAAAGGAATAGTGATGTACATGCTTAGTCATTACTTAATCCGTAATTACCGTAATCCAAATTCTTTCACCAAGTTATTCAATAATCATCAATTTACAATTCAAATATGGTGCCAGTATTTTCAGTTGATATGTGTACCTTAACTTATGATAACATTCAAACATATTGATGCATTCTAATATAAATGTACTAAGGGAGAATCTCATAGTGCACATCGAAACAGCATCAAATTGACGTCATCTGCAATAGTTCCAACATTGCAGGCATACATGTATGTACTGAAATCCCCAAATTAGGAAAACAGAAAATAGAAAGAAAAAATTCATTGAGATCCGAATTGACAGTATCTACAAAAATGAACCCCAAATTGCAAGTGAATGAGCATTTTAGAGTTTTACATCAACAAGACAGTACTCTATGGTTTAGGAATAACATTTAAATCAGAAAACAAAATCACCTTGCTTTAGAAAAGGAATTAGAAATGAAAGCATATAAATAAACAGAACACTAAAAAAAATGTGGATCAAGAACTAGAATAGTAGATTTTAAGGGCACCATACTTGGCACATAAAGCAAGGACAGGTGACATGTATCAAAAGTGCATATTTTTACATCTTCATATCCTTAAATAGCAAAGTACAGTTACTTTATTCGTTGTTATATCATTGAAATGATCAACATCGTAAGTGATTAAAAGAAGCAAGTGTATTGTTTCAAAATTGAGCTAATACTAATTGATCTACAAATGTGTGCAACATTTGGGTGTAAACATTGACTTTATCTTTTCCTTAGCACATCCAACACAGTTTGTTATTAGTTTCATCATAAACCATCCCCATAGTTATTCCAAATGGTCGTTATACACTGAATGTACAGAACAGAAGGAATCAAATAGTCTGTCCAAAAAGGAAGCATATTCTTTCCATATATTAAAAAAAGAGAGACTGTTTTACATTTTCCCGCTAAGAATTTGCATTCTCTCTTGTTCTATTCCATCACACAAAGAGGCACTTCATATCCGTTTCTTTCTCTCCTAAACAAACAAAACTAATATTGCTGTAAATTATTGTTGTATTACTGCCAATATTATTATTATTAGTGTACCTGGGGCATTTATTATAAAGCTTTCTGGGCTTTTACTGATGCACCCTTTTCCATTTGTACTTCTACACTTTATACTATGGTTTTTATATCTTTCCTAAACCAGAAGGGGTTAATAAGAGGACACATACATATTCATGTTCGTAGAGAAAAGGCTTTTCCCAACCATCGATCTAGCCCATTATATTAAGTAATTTGCAGCAACTCGACCATGTTATCATTATCTAATACTATGGATTTGTCATTTGAATAAAACCCTGTTCATTTGCATAACAGGATCTATACATTGTAAAAAAAATACCAATAAAGCAAAACTGACAACTCATTAGCAATGTATTAATCAATCCACAATACAAACAAAATAATAATTAAAATAATAAAAACAAACATCATTAACACATAATTTTAGGAGGAAGCAAAGAGGTTTTCAATGATAGCCAGACACGTATTCCTGTTTTTTCATTCAAGCAAAACCAGAAAGAAAATGTGGGTGAAGTAATACCACACAAAAATACTGCCACTGGCATTTCCCCCAACATCTGAAGTTGTAGGATTGTAGGAAATTGCCAGAGAATGAACATGCCTTAAATTACCCATAAAAACCAAATTAGATCAGTTTCACAATGAAAATTCACACTTGGTACTATGCAATTTAACAAGGCAATTGATGGCCAAAACAGGAAATAAGACTTGAAGCTTTCCTTCGAGAAAGAGGGATTTAAATACATGGATGCGTCATTATCAAAATATCAATTATTACACACAAACAGAAATCAATAACTATCAAAGTTCAAACACGGCTATAGTCTGTAAATGCGATTACATACATGTAGCTTTATAATAATCAGCAAAATAATAAGGAATGCGTAAGTTATTATAAATTCATCATCCCCTACATTGCTAGACAATATGACAGCATAAATGGTAAACTACGAAAGTCGAGAAGTGCTAGATTTTACAGATAATACCAAAAATGCTACCAATAAATGCATAGGACATTGTCAAAATAAGTAGATCAACTATTAAAACAGAAATAATGCCAAATAAAATAAATGCGTACAATACATATAACTACTGTATGTCTATTTATTTAGGGATACTCCCATTCGATAGAAGTGATATAAAAAGGGGTTTTCTGACCAAGTTCCGTAAGATAAGAAATTGACTCTGATTACAGAATTTTAGGACATTTTTGGAAGCGTGAAGAGAGTACCCTGGCCTGCACCCATACTTCATTAGGTAATGATTAACCATTGCAAGATGAAAGTCACTTTCGTCATCAAAACATCAGAATGAGTAATGTCTGTGTGTTGTGAAATGCCACGCAAAATGGGAAAACTTGTAATAACAATTACAGCAGTTCACATCGACTGCATAGTTTTTGTAAGAGCACACAAAATGATAAGAAATAGTCTTGACAATACAGTAAATATCTTTAGAGCTCATTCATTCCCTCGCAAATGTTCAAGCGTACTGTATGTCATGCTGTAGGATTTGCACTTGACAATGCTGCACTTCTTCAAGTCCAAGCCAATGTGCCTAACTGTACGATAAATGAGCACTATACACTATAGTAATAGGTCGATGACGGTGATCTGTCTTATGATCAAAAGATTAACCCGAGAAGCATGCATCCGGGTCAGAAGGCTGAGAACTAATCTTCCCCCCAAATCATCGGATTTTCTCGCCATCCGTGTTTGCTACACTAAAATTCATTGCTTAGAGAGTTCCCTCAACTCTAATTTAATACTACAACTATAACTTAAGAATAGCCTCTCCCTTCAGTCTTTATGATACAACAATCATACACGTTTATGTAATAGATATATATACAAACTTCTTGTCATCTGTGATGGAGGCATCACCGATATTCTGCCTATACCCAAATAAAAATCTTCTGCTGCTGTGGAGGACGGGGCGGGGCTAGGGCGTGGTTCTAATACTCCTCCTGTTCTGGATCCAAGAGCTCTTCTGGTTGGTAGTCGACTCCACCGGCGTCGCCATCGGCAGCAAGCTCCTCTTCAGGGGGCTCAAAGCCATCCTGTAGACGAGAAGAGAGGAGAGAGAGTGGGGGAGAGGGGAGAGAGGGAGAGTAAGAAGGAGATAGAGGGAAGAGAGGAGAGAGAGGGAGACGACAAGATAAAAAAGAAAAAAAGTTATTACAAACAAAATGAAAAGGCACAATCACATTGGGCTGCTTGATTGAGAAATGTATTAAGAATGAACATGAACACGACAGAGAACATATCAAAAGAGGAGAATGGGAGCCGGTGAGATTATGAGGGGGCACAGTACATAATGTACATGTAGAGTTCTTTAAAAAAACCACAGTGGGTGCTTAATCTCAACATATCAGTAATTTAATATGTATATCAAACTAATTTTCCCCAACCTGTAATGGTGCCTATTTACATTTTATACAAAAGCAGTTTAAAAATGCAAATATTACAACACCTTTACACCATCTATATTCTGGAAAAAATTGCTCTTTGAGATAAAATAAGTCATCAGCGATAACAAGACATCAAATCACCTGACACATTAACAACGAAATGGAAGAAAAATGAAAAGAGCATGCATGGAACAGCTACTTGGAATTGAAAAATAAAGGTATGAAAAAGAAAACAATGAAAAGATAGGGAAGTGACATCACATTTTCAAAACTAGAACAATAACAATTTGCTGTTTGTAAAGTTACAGAAATGAGTAAACAATGAAAGCAAAGTAAGAAAAGAGACTTGAAAAGGAAAGATTTGGAAACTTTCTGCACGATTTAAAAGACTGCATGTACACCTAGCGGACCTTCTGCTTTAACAAAATGAAAAATGAAAAGTAAAATACAAGTATAAGCAAATTCAATAGCATCTATTTTTTTCTTCTTTTAAGAGATTATAGTGATGAGCACAGAAAACCTAAAGAGTTCTGATTTATGTTTGTACTGCAGTGGATTGCACAAGCAGGACAAAAAGATGATGGTACAGATACAGTAAAAATCTGGAGTCTACTGATAGCAATTGAAGGTAATAATGAAATGGAAACAGGAGATAATAATACAAAAAGACTATTTAGAGAGAAAGTAAAATATAATTTTCAGACACGTTAAATGTATTACAGCATGTAATAAACTTTTCCTCTGTTTTTTCAAAGTTGCTTAGGATAGATTCCTGAGAATTGAGATCTCTTATCAAACTCCATGTACATGTACTTGCATACATATATATAGCACTATAAAAAAAGGAAAATGATAATTTTAAAAAGGTGCAACTTGACATGTAACTACAAAGAAAATGCTTTTATTAACCAAATTAAATTCAAATGAGGACAAAATAAAAAGATACGTTAGACATTGACTTGCAATTCTTTTCATATTGATTCCACTAATATGATACAAGGAAATGCTCGAAAGAGGACACAACATTTCACAATTTGAGACCAAATATATAGCAAAAAGAATATCCTCTACCCTCGATGGAGTCTGAGGCATAGAAAATGAACAGATAGGTAGAAAAAAAAATTATATAAATAACTTGAACAAGATTAGTGAAATATATGTAGTTTACGGTGAATTCAAAGAGAAAGACAAATCAGTAAATTACAACAAAAGCATTGCATTTTTTGACAGTAGGATAAAAAAAGAAAGAGCATTTAAGACAATTCCACAATAGAATGCAAGGACAGATATTAGGAGCGCTTTTAAAGGGAAGGATCAAGAATTGGACACCACGATTAATTATCTCTACCCTAGTACTGGTCTGAGGCACGATCATCTAAATCGTCTACGCTGCCGGCGTCCGAATCCGTAGCCCCAAAGTCTTCAGGAACTGCAAAGCCGTCCTGAAGGTGCAGATTTATTCCCATGAAAGCAAGGGGAAGGAGGAGAAGATATTGGGGGAGGAGAGAAGAAAGTCCGAAGCGAGGTAAAAATTTGATGGTGTAGTTATAGGTTTGTGTACATGTTCCCTCGATTTTTCATGATTCACTTCTGTGATGGAAGGTCCTCTGTTTTGTTTGCATGTTTAGACTCCCGTAAAACAAACCCCATAACAACATTTCTTCAATATTTTCCTGGGATACATTAGCGTAACAGGGCCCAGTCTTATAAAGAGTTACGATTGATAAGTTCTCCAGTCAATCGCAAGTTCTTCTTCTTCTTCTTCTTCTTCTTCTTCAGGATAATCTGCCTCCTTCACTGCTGAAGATTCTTGCAGATGTATAAGTGCATGTGTGTAACGACATGGGGACGACCAGGTGTGCAGGTGAAATGTGTATATACACATAGTGCCATTAAAAATGTTGCCAAATTTGCTTCCCTCCTGTCTTTGCAGTCTCCTATCTCTTATGTACATACAGGAGTTGTGATCGATATCAATCGCAAATAAGTTGCGATTGATATCAACTCTTTATAAGACGGGGCCCAGGTCAATAAGATGGTCTTATGATTTATAGCAACAACGAGGTTCCCGATATAAACAAAGATTTCCAAATGCGATGTCCATCTGAAGGAGATCCAGCAAAGAAGCGGGCACTATAAACCAGGACAACGCTCCAAATGGACCTCTTTCTTCTTCATGATTCGATTTCTATTCACCATGCATGCATGCAAGCCCAATCTTAGCCTTATCCCTCACTGTTACCCGCAGCCAACCAAGAAATAATGTTTGGTGGAAAATGGTAAAAAGTCAAAGTCAAAGTCAAAGGCCACCTTGTCTGACAGACGGATTCCATCTGAGAATTCATCTGTGATCCTGGCTGCAATGGCAACTTCTTCTGACTCACCCGGAACAATGAATTGGACAGGGCGAGCTTTAGATGGGTCTAATTCGTCACTACTTTTTGGGGTATCTACCATGGGCATCTGAGGAGTTCCAACCCCAGGGCTAATCCTGGACATTTCTAGCCTGGGGGGATTGTTTTCTTGATCAGGGATGGGGCTTTTCTGGGACCGATCAACGGCCATTGGAAGAGTGTCAGGAGTTGCTGTAAGTGTCTTGGGGGGATCGTCCATTGCATCTGGCTCATAGTAAAGGGCTTCAGCCAAATTTCCAGCTCTGCCTCTTATTGCAGATATATTTCCAAATTGTTTTGGGGAATCTGTCATGGATTCGAGAGGGATTGGGTTGGAGTAATGGAATGGGGGATCCTTCATAGCCCTGTCTGGAATTGGAGAAATGGCCCTAGAACTCAAGTTCACTCTCCCTATGGTTGATGAATTTAGTTCAGACGGTCGGGTAGAGGTCCCAGAAATAGGTTCCACTGTTTTAGAATCTGGACTGGAAGCAAGGGCAGCTTGAGGGGATTTCCCAACCAAGGACTTTGTGGCTGTTTTGGATGTGGACCTTTTCTTTGCGGTGGCTGTCTTAAAAGTTCCGGAGTCAAAGTCCACGGTCCTATACACAGGGTCCTCGATCCCGGGAATTGGGCCAGCGGTCTTCGGGACCGGTTCTGCCTTCTTAGGGGGAGGAGGTCCACGCGGGATGACCTCGGCGGCCTTCCCTGGGACTGGACGGACTATCTTAGGGACAGGTCCCCGGGCCCCTGGGCTGGTGGCGGCCACCACCGGGACAAAGTGTGAGGCTCCTGAAACGGACGGGACTGCTTTAGACGGTTCCTGCCCTTGTTTTGGGGGACCGGGCTGCATTAGAATCCAGTTGGATTCTTCCTGCTTAGATGCAAAATCTTCAAACACGCCTTCTTCCTTGGGTTTGCATGGCATGATGTTAAAGAGAGATGCAAATGGATGATGGATCAAATTTGTGAGAATGTGTTGAGGATTAATATGGATAAAAGCATGATATGTACAAATGAGATGATAGAAAATTTGAGATGAATCCTCTCAAAAGCTGCATGGATATACATTTCATTGATAATGATAATTGAATGCCAGACTATCGGAATACAAATGTCCTGGTCACAATCAATAACTAAATAATATTAATAAATTATTCGAAGACAGTAAGTAGAGCCTACTTTGCATTTCGCTTGTTTTTCTGGGCATGAGACAAACAGTTAGAATACAGACAAAGATATCCAATGCTTTTGAACTGTTTGTTTCTTAATTTGCTTTTTCCACATCCAAGTTATTTAATGTCTTGTTAATTATTTGTAATAAACCTAAAGACATTGTACAGACACATTACTGTTCTATGCTCATTCTGATGTTTCCATCTAGGCTAATAGTATCTCCTCGCATAATCATCACAGGAGGTCAAACAGATATCATTATTTCTTTCTTTGTTTGTTCAGGGGATCATAAGTAAATTATTGGTTATCTGTAAACACCATTTCCTTGGTACTATTTTGACATTTTTGGGGTGCAGATTGAAATCTAAGGGGCCTGTGTGCACTGGAGGTTGCATGACACATGCTCCTGCGACAGTCGCTTCTCGGTCACATTCCAACTCTAAACAAATTTCTTAGTTCAAATCTTGGCCCAACACCATACCTTACCTTCACCATAAACCTTACCCTATTAAACCCTAAACCTAATCTTAGACAACCGCTCCCAAGTGAATCTCCTTCTCTAAACAATTTTCTCAGTTCAAATCCGTACCCAACACTATACAAATGTACTTTACCCTCACCATACACCTAACCTAAGACAACTGCTCCAAAGTAAATGTCCTACTCTAAACAATTTTCCCAGTTCAAATCTGGACCCAACACTATACAAATGTACCGGTAACCCTTACCCTAAACCTAACCTTAGACAACCACTCCAAAGTAAATCTCCTACTCTAAACAAATTTCTCAGTTCAAATCTTGACCCAACACTATACCTTACCTTAACAACCGCTCTAAAGTAAATTTCCTACTCTAGACAATATTCTCAGTTCAAATCTTGACCCAACACTATACTTTACCCTCACCCTAAACCTAACCTTAGACAACCGCTCCTAACTAAATCTCTTACTCTATACAACTTCCTTAATTGTGTTTTCCATGATTGCTGGTGATTTTGTTTTCATGCATACAATTGACAATTGAATTATTCATACTCCTTGGAAATTTGATGTTTGTTGTGGTTTTCGTAACTCAAGAATGAAAGGTGGACAGGTTGAATTAGGGCCTTTGTTGAATACTTTTAGATGTTAGCTGTTATCGGTCACATACTTAAAACATTACAAAACATGAAGGGTATGAACAATGTACTTGTTAACTGTAAATCTGGCCCTGAACGCAACCAAAAACCCTAATGGAACCTTAACCTTAATCCTACCCCTATCCCTTTTATGCAATAAATCTTAAACCATTTGATGCCGGAGCATCTTGTATCAGTCTCCTGGACCTCTAAAAGTGGCAAGCGCTGCTGATACAGTAAACCTGTGCAGAAAGACTAACCAAAAGGAGATCTGCAAAAAGCAGTCTTTACAGGCAGGTGGTCTTTATGCAAATTGTTCATTGCATAGCATCATTTGAAGGGGAATCACAACCTGTGGTCATTGTAGACAGGATGCCTAGATCTAAACAGGTAAATACTCAAGGAAGGTTTGACTGTACACTTGAACAAGATTTCAAACATGAATTTTGATAGTTTTTATCTCAATTTTCTGCATTACTGAATATTTCTTGCCAGCTCCCCTCATCTGTCATGATAAGGTACCCTTTGTCTGTCTCTTCCTCTCTCTCTGTCTCTCTCTCTCTCTCTCTTTCGTCCCCCTTCTCTCTCTTTCTTTCTCTCTTTCTCTCTCTTTGTCAACACTCCAACTCTCCCTCTCCTTCACCTCTCCCTATCTCTTTCTTTTTTTAACAAAAATATGAATTTGATCAATGAATTTTTATGAAATGTCTATATGTTTGATTATTGATTTATGTCATATTTTGTGTTATTTCAATTTGAATTGCAATTGTATTGTATATAACCCTGTGAAATGGATTGCAATTCAGCCATTGGCTGCGATGATCTTTTTAATAAAAACCATTTCTATCTATCTATCTATCTATCTAACATTACCTCTGTTGCGTATAAGATGTCTAATACTCTTGTGATGCCTGAATGGGGCTCATTTTCAAATTCTGAGCAGATGACCTCAATATCTCGTAGCTTGCCAAAGTAGAAATCCCTCTCCTTCTCAAGTCCAGTAATTGTCATTAATGACTCGTCGAGCTAAAAGTGAGGTGGAAAAAAATTATTCAGATAATTAAAATCATATATTAACACTTTTTCTCAGGTACTATCACTATGAACATGACTGACAAAGAAAGCTTACAAAATATAGTTCCTCAGGTAGACAAAGGAACATCCCTTCACTGCTATTATGTAAAAATGTGTAGAACAGGTGTCACACGCATATTCACTTTTTACATAATAGCAGTGAAGGGATGTTCCTTTGTCTACCTGAGGAACTGTATATTTTGTCCGCTTTCTTTGTCCGTCATTTTCATAGTGTATGCCCCATTTGCAGCCAACATTAAATTCTGTAGAACTTTGCATGTTCAAATTATAAATATGTCTGTGAAATTTTAACATTAGCAGTGTCCTAATATTCAAATTATGCAAGAAAACCTGTTAACTTTTTAGACTTCACTGTCAGACACTATTTAGTGATTGACTGACTTTTATTTTTCGTTGGTAATAACATATCAGTACATAAAATTAGATGTAAAGGGTACATGAGCATTTGCCTATATCAATAACCCAATTCTTGGAATGGCCAAAATTAAATTGATTGAATCTTTCCACAGCTAAAAATGTACAACCATTTGGTACGGGGGTCTGAAAGGGTCTATTACTAAATGGATTGCAATAACTTAAGTCGATTTCAAGAACTAATGCTCATTATCTTCCCACTTAGAGACACTTTCAAGCCCTTTCGTTTTGATGGAAGTTCTAAATTAGTATCATCTTTCAAATGCCGTTGGAATTTAACCCTTTTATATATTTTTGGCTTGCAAATGGGACAAAGTACCTTTAAAACGTTACAAAAGAGAAATGTCTAGCAGAAAAATGGGGTGTATAGAGGGACAAAATGTAATTTCTTACCAAAAAAAAGTTTATTGGACATCATTGTTATCTGATACGTGTACTGTACACATATCGCACATTTCATGTGAAAACTATTTGGTAATTATTCCTTCTGTGTGATGTTTAACATTTGTTTTACTATTCAATGAGAGAGTTATTACTTTAACAGAAGATTATATTTAACAGCAGGTTTGTAGCTTTCCAAAAATGAAATAGATAAATAAATTCCTTCTAAAAATTGAACAAAAATAAAACAATACAAACTAATGAATAAACTAACGGATGAACGAACATACAAACAAGCAAATAAACAAATTAATTAAAAAAAAAAAATACATGTATAAAGATACAAACATTAAAAATATTTTTAAAAAGACAAGTTAATAAATAGATGAATAATAATTAAAATGAATAAATGAATTAATAAATGAACACAAAAAAAACTAACTAAACAAATTAAACAAAGAACTAGACTGACCAAATCAATAAATTAACAAACAAATAAGTAATAAGTCTATATCTGACCTGCATTTGTAGATCTGTGACCTGCGCATTTGTTGCTCCCCCTTTATTTGACGCTCCTACTTTTGATGGTGCTTGTTTTGATGGTGCTGGTTTTGGTGCTGCTGCTTTTCTTGTGGGTGCTGCCGCCGGTTTGGCTTTCATCACTAGGGGTAAAAACAAACATACACATACCATTGACATTGACATTTCACACCAAAAGTTATCCCTGAAAATTGGAGCTTTAAATTTTCATTTTTTTTACACTGATGTGAAGTCGGGTCAATATCTTAAAGGTAAAACCCAGTAATGGAAACGCCTCAATTTCAAAAAGTGAAACGGAAGCTCTTATTACTAATCATGTGAAAGAATATGTTTTGACTAATACATGATGATAACAAATTTGCCGGGAAACCGCCTACTAATTGATATATTTGGTAAATTAGTAAATCTATTGGCCTGTGAGAGATAAATACATGTGTCGCACACGTGTGCATATAGTCCCATATACATCTTTCTGTGTACAGTGCTTGTAACTTTACGAAGACTGGGCCAAATTTCTTATCATTTTGATGATTCCAGAACCTTGCAGTACACACCAATACTTGTATGCTATATGATCAACCTTTTCTGATCGATTCCACAACGTTTCTTTCACCATACATGTAACTGGTCTTTATCTTTAACCCTTACTGTTCTAGGCTGTTTTGAGCACCTCATGACTGGGGAGGGGAGGGGGGCTGGAAACCTCTACATATTTGTCTGTAGACTTGTGACGAATTTTGAAAATGTATTGAATAAATGTTTCCTTCATCTCAAATTCATGAGGTAAAATTATTGTTATGATATTTGAAAATGCATAGGTTAATTTGCATAAATTATGAATACGCATTCATAAATATCAAATCTGGAAATATACAGGGAACTAAAATCATTACAAAAATTGTCAGACTCCACTTTTTGAAGTTAATTGAAACTCCTTATTCATATGAAACTTATTTTCTATTAAACACAAAATAGTTATTTTGATGTAATTAATAATGATAATTTATGCAAATTTGATGGGATTTTCAAATAATTATTTTCTTGTGTATTTTTTTATTTTTTTTTATTTCATATTATATCTATTGTTTTATTTCTAATGTATTCTTTTGTTCTGGAATATATCAAGTTACTTTGAGAAACATACATGTATAAAAGCAAATTGATATCATTTCATATTTCCCACTTAGGAAGAAATACATCTAAACCTGTATTCACATTTCTGCTTGTACATGTACATTGTACATGAATACCTGCAATTATAGCATATATTTGATGACATGCGCATACTAATTGAGATGTAACACCTTACAGGTATATCTGATTTTGACGAAAATGGTATCAAAATGTGCGTAAGACTTGAGGGAAAAAAGTCATGAAACGACAATTCAAAATTCCAAGCGGTTGCGGCGCAATCTCTGAAAATGTCGAGGGGGGGGGGCCTCCCAGGCCCACCCCCCCCCCCCCCCCAGTACAGTAAGGGTTAAAGGGCAAGTCTAACACATTAGAATGTTGCATTGAATAAATGGAAAACTTAAAAAAACAAAAGAGGGAAAGAATCATCAGAATCAGACAAAAATAAGAAAGTTCTAAAGTTTTGCATAATTTCATGAAACACTGATATGAGACATACATTGTAGGCTGTATGTAAATTAGCGAGTTGACGATGTTATCCCCTAATTATTCCCCATATATTTTGTTTTTTTCTTTCTTTTTGTTGTTTACATAATTTAATAGTATTCTAACAGAAAGCAGACTAGTCAGAGAACCAGACTAGCGAAAGTTTAAACAAAACTGAAAAGTTACACATTTTTTAAAGTTGTAATCACTATACGTGAGGGCAATTCAAGTTGGCTGAATCTGCAACGTCACCGTGACGTAGTGTTGGACAAAGGAGTAAAATACTCACATGCCTGATCTGAGTATGGCATTGAATGCTGGTCCAAGACCAGGGGTCTTGTTAATTATTTTTGAAGGAGGTAATTTGAATTTTATAGGAGGTACCATCACTGCGAGGGAGCGAAGCGACCAAGCCCGAGGGAGCGAAGCGACCGAGGGGGGGAGGGTGTGGGAGGGGGCTGTCCCCCCCCCCCCCCTCCCACGGTAGGGACCTTTTGGGATTTTCCACTTGAAATCGTGCAATCTGGTGCATACCTAAGAAGAAAATTTGTAGTTATCTTTCCTACCTTGTATTACACATATAAATAAACACACATATTGTTCATGTTTAATATTACATGAACAATCATAACTCATAGAAAAGTTATTAAGTTGATAATTATTTATCACTTTGTACCATTACTTTGTAATTTTTAATTAAACTGAGATGATGCACCATACTCAATCTTTCTACATCATGATTTGTTGAATACATGTACAGTAGATCTATTTAAATAATGGGCAGCAGAGGCTAGATTTTGATTTTTTTTTTACTTGTGACTTTTATTTGGCTCCCCATATGAATTCTCATTTAATTATTTTTTTTTGACATGAAATTATTGAATACATTTAAGAATTTACTTTTGAGTATTCGCGGAGCGCGAGCCTGCATAGGCCTATATCATGCGAGCTAGCTGCGGGGGTCCGCCGGGGACGGCCGTGGCCGGCCTAAACTCAGCCGAGTTCAAAACTCTGTTGCCGATTTGCGCATCTCAGAATCTAAAGTACGTTGTCTCTATACATTGCACGCACGTGTATAGGCCCCGGTTTCCGTGATCTTCAAATATCAAATCGGCAACGGATAGTTTGGTTACTTCGAGCTAGCTTCAGTTTTGTTATGATCAGTGTGTATATATTTTGTGCAGTGCATCGTCCTCTCGCGTGCACATCGGGATCGCAATGGGGTAGGGACGGGCGGGCTTGGCCGCCGCGCTGTGGGGGGAGAACTGCGATGTAACGTTAGATTGATAGGTCTAGGTAAGTATGGACGACGTCGCGTTCGTGATCGTAAGGGATTTCGTCGACTGCGGCCGTGTATGTGCGGCACTAATTATATCTTGGACGAAATTAAGGAAATTTTGGATTAGCATTGATTTAGATCTACTTTCTGTGATTTTTGCAAGGTTTATTACCGTATAGGAATTATAGCCGGTAAGAAACGAGTGAATAGGCGGCAAGTTTTACCGGTTACCGGCTTTAAACGACAGCCCTGCAAGACTTACCTGTAGTGGCGGCTTTCTTTGGAGCTGCCATTCCTGCACCTCCCCTAGCATCGGCTGCATTATATTCCTCCCCGTTATAGTTCGCATCAAAGAATTTCTTGAACCACTGTGCAAATTCAAAGTTGTCTTGAAACTTGCCGTTGACAAGCTTTTGCACGGGTATTACCTGAGAGACAAACAGAGCGTGTTTAAAATAAAAAATATTGTGTTAGAAGTGAAATAAATTGTATTTTGGTTCAAAACAAACAATATTATTAAGAATTTTTAGTTTAAGCCGTTCAATTTTTCTAATATTGTTAATATTAATGGCAGCTCACATGTTTTGCCTCTTATTTCAGACTTTTTTCTTCCTTTCTGAGGCATGAAAAGGCACTAAATATCAACAACACACTCTATGACCACTCTGAATGACAAATAATCTCAGGTAGCATATTTTTTTTGTATTTGATTACCAAAAACTTCTAAAATTGAAGCCCTTTTTCATAGGAACACGTTTATTTTTGTTTTGTCATTATAATCCAAAATGAAGGCTCGAATGTTCTGCCTCAATATTTAGACCAAATTGGTAAGTTTAAAGGCAAAGACCAGTTATGGTCATGTGATTGCATTGTGAAAGAAACGTTGTGGAATCGATCAGAAAAGGTTGATCATCTAGCATCTAGCATCTGCAAGGTTCTGGAATCATCAAAATGATAAAAAATTTGGCCCATTCTTCGTAAAGTTACAAGCACTATACACAGAAAGATGTAGGGACTACCCTATATCTCTCACAGACCATGAGAGAAACAAATGTACCAAATATATGAATTAGTAGGTGGTTTCCCGGCAAATTTTTTATCATCATGTATTAGTCAAAACATTTTCTTTCACATGATTGGTAATGAGAGCTTCCATTTCATTTTTTGAAATTGGGGCGTTTCCAATACTGGTCTTTACCTTTAAAGGCATGATAATACCAATAAACATGGACTTCATCAACTTCAAATGGGAGAGTAATACAAAGTATGGGTGTTTTTGAGATTTACAGTGCTCAAAATGTCCAATTTGGGGAATTTTTAAAGCAGATTTTCAATGAAGTTTCCCTCTTGATTGACCCATCCGATACTGATACCGAAAGCCAAACAGGTGACTCAGTCCTCCGATCCAATTTTAGCTCCTACGTTTAGCATCACTTTGACTTTTCAAATATTAAATGCTTACATGTAGTCTGTGTAATATGTGTGTTCATTGTACATTCAAGTTCATATTGTACAGTTGTCAATTCAATGAGTTCATAGTTCATACATAATTCAATGAATGCACCGATGAAAGGCTATACCCTCCTCCCCCCCCCCCCCACCTTTGTTTGCTGAGATGACCATACGAGAGTGACCTCTGTCCAGCAGTGCAAGAAAGAAAGTCATGATGAAATTCAAAGTTAAGCAAGTCTAATAACAAATCTTGATAGAGGATTAACTCCTCACAATCCATCTCCAATCCTAAAGAAAAAAAATCAACAAATGTAAGACTTTACCTTGTCCACCCCACATTTCTTGAACGCTTTCTGTAATAGCTTGAAGTTTTCTATAAACTGATGCTCCTGTTTTACATCGAACTTGACCTTCTTCAATGTAATGCAATTTTCAAAAAGCATGTCCATGAACTGACAATAAGCGGCCCCTGTGAATAAGATAGGATATGGAATTCAAATTAATTCAATTTGCAAATATGATACAGTACATGTATGTGTTTATGAACCAATTTACAGAATTACAAGAGTGATTATAATAATAGACAATTACACTAATAGTTGACAACTATAATACAAAATAGAGTCATACCGGTAATAGCTTTTGAAGTGAGTATACACAATATTACACTCATACATGTACCTAGAATGTACAGGTGTTAATTCAATTTGCAAATACAATATGATTTTCATACACTAGGTTTTTTATGAATCAACTTACAGAATTACAAAAGTGATCATAACTATATATTGAATTACACTTATAGTTGACAATTTTAATGCAATAAAATAGAGTCATAACATTAATAGTTTCGAGTACACTCAGCCATAGAATGTACAAGTGTACCCTATCCCCCCCCCCCCCCCCCCCCGCCCCAAGCCCAGATTGAACGCCACGTTTGAGAAACTTACCAGTACAGAGATTCTCCACCTTTGAAATGCTCATGCCCAGACTGTCGTTGACCCACCTTACCATTTCATGCCTGCTGATATTTTCAGAGGTCACAGACGTTGAAACAACATTGATAGCCATTGTATGTAGGAGCCTTTACGATCTAAGAGTAAGAGCGAGAGTGAGAGAAACACATGAATTGAAAGGGATAGAGAGAGAGAAACTTGAAAATAACACTGATAGCAGTATTGTGTAGCTTCCTTTTCTTTTATTTTGTAATAATAGTTATAACAATTAACAATATTCCATTCTTGTATGACAATGCCCCTAAGCGCTTTGAAAGTGCTTTGGAAAATCTTATCCTGTCTTTAGCTCTGGCAGCCGTTCACAGTGCACTTCAAGGAGTAATCTCAACAAAAACAGCTACACACGAGCATCACCTGTGTCGAGTGTGGCAAATGAACATGTACAAATATGTGTAGATTAATGTCTAGACTCTAAGCTGGTTCAGTATCGAGCGCTCATAATGTGAGAGTCTCTGTACAAAGTCAATGTGAAATGCATCATGAAAATCATCACGGAATCTGTGCCGATCAAAAATATGGAACGTGTGCGAAAATGCGGACGATCCTTATTTTTGAGGCCGCAACGGTCCGCGTTTACGAAGACGATCCTCGTTTATGCAGACGATCCTTATTCTTGGACCAGCTTACATCGGTTTTTATATATGCCGCTCTGCGGAAGTAGGGTTCCTGATCCGCGCGTCGGCAATGCAAATTATAAGGATTCCGCATAATGAATTCAAATAAAGGAGGGGGTAATCAACTGTGTACATGCAACCGAAAACTGCCTCGCTAGGCCAATAACTGTCTCGGAAACAGTGAAAATTGAAATGAATATTGTCATGGCAATTCATTTTTTTTTCTGGGATTCTTTTTTTGTTTAAATAATAATATTTGCTTCATGATTTGAACAAGAAATGATAATAAATAGGAAGTAAAGAGTACAAAAAATAGGATTTTGTCTTAAGTGGCCCCCAAAAAAACCTCCTTTACTCTACCCCAAGTTCACCGTCTACTTTTTTTGTTGTCCGTCTTCCCAAGGATTTATCGTTCATACATGTAACGTGAAACTAAGTCTCTTTGCAAAGTCAATGTGAAATGCATCAATGGGCATCATAGGGTAATCCATTTTTCGCATCGCCAATGCAGATCAGAAATAAGAATCGTCTGCGAAAATGGTTTTTTTAGGACGCGTCTGTCCTCATTCACGAAGACGATCCTCGTTTCTGAAAGTGAATGTGAAAGTCTCTGTACAAAGTCAATGTAGACCCCTAGACCCTAAACCAGGCCCCCCAAGCTCCGCCATTTTGTCCGGATCCATTAGAAGCCAAAATAAGCCCCCTTGCATAATTCATGAGCCTTATGAATTATGCATTCTGTAGGATGCTCCCCGCGAAAAGTGTACTGGAATTATGTTCACTACATGGTAAAAGACAATACGCGTATCAGCGTAATTAGAGAGGTCAAATAATCTACTGTACGGAATTATGGGTAATTTATTCATCACGCTGCGCGCTCGCAACGCAAGTGATTCAGCGAATCAGCGTGGATTATTCTGATGCGATCACCGTTAGGTGAAATACGCGCTCGAACTTGCATTATCGATCACCAGTATAACAGCCGGTGTACCCAGGATGCATCGGGAAGTGGACCTAAAGTTCCTCTCGTTGTTGTGTTGTTGTTGTTTTTTAATATGGGGGAGTGGCCTTAACTGGCATTGAATAAGAAATAATGATTATTCCCTTTTTAGTCTATCAATAACTGGGTCTGTTTTTGTTTTATTAAATAAAACATGCTATAAGCCATATAACAACTCATTCTCTGGCTATGATTATACATTTTAAATATGCTAATGTATAAAGTTTCCTTATTTTAGACAAACAAATTATGTGGCAAAGTGGATGGTTTTTCTCCACCCACTCTCATCGTACCTTAATGATTCCCTTTCTCTCTCTTTCTCTGTCTTTCGTAAATCATCTTCTGCAACCATTACGGTTTGTTGTCTTGACTGAACAACCTGTTGCAGTTCCTTTCTGTCTCACTTTCAGTCGTAGTTGTTATTACCACTCATTTACATTTACTCGTTATCAACTACGATCAACCATTCCATATTCACTCCATTACTGTCCACATTTCACTTGGATTATCTTCACTTTTCCTTTTTGCAGCCTTTGCAGGAGCTTTGAACATTTTTAATGTATAGACCAGAGAGATCGGAAAATATGTTAATCATTTTATTCAAATTTTCTAACTTGAAAACGGAAAGTGAAACATTGTTTTTCAACATCTTGACATAATTTTTGTTTAAAGACAACGGAATTTAACACTGGAAATTTTGAATTGGGTTTCCCCCTCCCCCCCCCCCAAAAAAAAAAAAAAAAAACAGAAGTGGTCCAGTACCAGGGTTAGTTGCCCATGTCCTTTATAATCTTATTTTTAAGAATATTTTTCACTTTTTTTTATTAATTTGACATTGGTATACCATTAATTTCACTTGGAAAACTACCCCCTTCCCTTACACATCAATACTGCCATTACTTCTAGCAACAGTAATTCTATAATTCAAAACGTTTTCATTTTCTAAATCCTTTTAATATAAACATATAATATTGTTTACACTTTTGCAACCTGTTACATGGTCCATGTAAGAGGATAACAAGCCCCCACCCCCCCCCCCCCCCTGTTTTCTTAAGCTAGGAAGTATCAAAACATGATTCTATTAAAATTAGCAGTTTGGATACAAAAGGCAAAATGATGATTAGCAGTTTCCATATTTAGTGCATTTAGAGGGTTGTCTTTCAAACCTTCTTACACACAATACTTGAAGCAGCAATAATGTAATAATCTAAAAAACTTCAAATACAGAAGTCCATGAATTTCAACATGTATAATTATAATTAAAATATCATTGATTAATTCAATCTTTGATATAGACTGATAGATCTTTATCACTCAAATTTCAAGGAAATTTCTTTCTGCCCAGCCCTAAGTTTCATCCGGCTATAAAATGGTAGTTGACATTGTTAAAATGTTAATGTTTATTCCTTGATGATTAGCTATCTTTAATTATTTAAAAGTTGACAAGATGATGAATTCATTAGCTTTTTTTAAACGTGGTATTCTACAAACAAATAATACAAATAATAAATAAATAGTATGTAAATATTCAAGTTTAAACCCATCTCTACTGTCCTCTTTCATTATATGAGGGTGGCATCTTTAAGACGTAGTCCCATGTAGATGTTTTCTGCATCCATCAATAAAGTTGTAGCCTAGTTTTCAGAAGAAAGGGCTGTAATGATAACCCAAGTCTGTTGAATAGAAAAATGAAATAGGATACAGTGTTATAAGAAAATCAACAATAACTAATAACATAGAGTAAAGTACCCGGTAATCGGTCAGCTCCGGTTTTCGGCCAATTGGTTGGATACATGGTAAAATCACTTTAAAATACATCGCATAATAGCATAACACATATCCCACACATACCATACCATGCCAGTGTCACTGAAGAACCACATTTGCAATGAAAAATATATCCTAAAATATCACATTTTAGCGATGTAATCGGCGGTCCCGCTACCCAAATCTGAAAAATCAAGTTTCTTACGCGTGTATGTAAGAAATATGGGTACCATAAAATGAGCTTTATTTCAAGTATTTTTCAGATATAGAGCCCGATTTTGTGCTGGTCGCAAGCTCAAAAGTATCTCATCGCATGTATTAAATCAATGCAGCCGCACACCGCGACGCACACACGATATGTCTGTCTAATTCAGATTCCAACTTCCGATCACCGCTGTGCCTGTATTCAGCCAGGCGAGCACCCGGGAGCTCCGGCGTGGGATACCTGCTCCGCCCGCTTGTGCTATACATCAGCGCAGAAACGCACGGCGCGTGCGAGCGCTTCCTATTGACTTTGTACATGCGGCCGTAAACTGAAACGCTCGACCGATAACCGGCTCCAAAACAGTGAAAATTGAAATGAATATTGTCATGGCAATTCGTGATTTTTTTTTGGGATTCTTTTTTTGTTTAAATAATAATAATATTTGCTTCATGATTTGAACAAGAAATGATAATAAATAGGAAGTAAAGAGTCCAATAAATAGGATTTTGTCTGAAGTGGCCGAAAACCGGGTACTTTACTCTACACCCTGATACCTGCTCTGACAAAATGAGGAAGGACCAAAACTACTTGGGGTTCTAGTGGGCAAACCTAAACTATATTTCCTACAAGACTATAGATACTGACCACATCTTAGATTATTTCAGATGATCCCATTAAGACAATAGGCCTGCTGGAGCTTGGATCAGGCAAGGTATGAAATAAGTAATACATGTACAATGTACTTGTACTGTAAACTCATGCTCATAATTGAATAATACTCGGTTAAGTATGGGACATAAATTTACCAAACAAGTTGAACCAGAGAATGTGCTGGAAATAATGCTACTGAAACATACGTAATGTAGACTTATATTTCATCTATATTGACATTTTATTTTTAATCAAAATCACAATTGTGATATTCAGTCAAGTATTCTTTTACAAGTCAACGGACAATGAAAAATATCTTTGTCAGATCTATAACTTTCTGCACGATATGTGTTCCACAATAGTTTATTGGGGTACCTACATGTATATTTAATAGCACACTTGCTCGTATGAAGTGTAGTAGGCCTGCATCTCTAGATATGATCCCGTCAATATCTGTTCTTTGTTCCTCTCCTGAGTTTGTAAACCAGCATGGCTTCATCATCCACTGTAGCGAAGCATCATCCTACATGAGAGAAAACAATGTAGGTACTTCAATTACAAATTGATATTAATGGCTACATATCAACCATAATACATCCTATAAACAGACTTTCATTGATCTTATTTTGTGTTCTTCTTCATCTTCATTGCTCAAGAAGTGAAAGCACTTCCAAAAAAGTAATGAGGGGTCCTGTGTATACCCTACATGTATGATCATGTAGTGCTTTGAATGTGCATTAGATATGGTTCTTCTACACACAGGACCTCCTGTAAATAAGGACAAATTTCCTTTGTAAACAAAGAAAGGAAAGACATCAATATTTGTGTGCTAAGTGCAGAACTGAATAAAATATACCCTCCCCTCAGTGGCGGATCAAGAGGGATGGGGAGTGGGGGGGCACAGGGGGCACGTGCATTTTGGGCGAATTTAGGGCTGATTTTAACATGTTTTTTGGGGTCGGAGGGGGGGGTCACATGTCAAAATCAGCCCTAAATTCGCCCAAAATGTACTGAAAAACAGGGGCGTACCCCTCCCCCCCCCCCCCCCCGCCCCCGAACAAAAAAAAAAATTATTTAAAAAAAAAAAAAAATATGCCAATGGCTTACCTGAAAAGGTGACCTTACCCCCCCCCCCCCCCTCCTCCCCCAACAGAGCAAAATGTCAAATTAAAAAATTTTGTAACCAAAAAAAAGTGTCCTCTTACTCCCCCCCCCCCCCCCCCCCTGCTTATTCAGCGGCTGGCTGAGTCTTTTTTTTGGGGGGGGGGGGGACTTAAAAATATATATATATATATGTTCTCTTTCCCACCGTGTGCCCCCCCCCCCTTTCCGGCAAGAAATTCCTGGACCCACCCCTGCCCCTGTATACGCTTGCAACATAAACTTAGTTACATTTCCTGTTTAGTGAATTACTAGGTGGTCGTTTTATGTTTGTGTGCTAAATATCCTGATTTTTTTTTTTACCTGGATGGGACTTTCTGCGTCATCTTGCAACTATAAAAAATGTTGTAATGTCTACTCATCAGCTAACTCCTTCCAGCTCTTCTTCAGTTTCAATCTGTTGGAACAAGAAGAAAAACAAATCAGTATGAAAATCAAGGCGTCCCTTTCTCCTTAACTACAGCTATTTTTTATGTCATGGTTGGCCTTAATGTTAATATGGTGTGGAAATCAACATTCCTATTTAATTGACCACAGTACAAAGTAAAACTAAATGGAAGATTTAACTTGTGTCTCAAAAAGTGCTTTAGGCCTAGGCCTATAAAGTAGTTTCAAGTAGAATTGGTTTATTAAAACAAGAAGAAAAGGTGGACTACATAAGTAAACATAATTGTGGACTAGGGTTCTTCTCTTACACACAAAAAAAGAAAGATTTATCAACATGAACTGCACAATTTGGAGAAGAAAAAAAAATCTCTAAAAATTAATAGGGGTCTAGATTCGTCTCGACTCTAGTCTATAGATCTATATTAGTTATTACAGACCTCTCAGTCTAACTACTATTACTAATGACAACTTGACAAGCACACTGGACCCACTATTAAATAAACAAATCCTAGACTCTAGACCTAGTCTAGTGTTGTTGTTTTTTTAAATATTTTTATTAATAAGTTCCAGGTTTACATCTAAATGAAATAGGATTTGGAGTTGTTTGATTATCAATGGTCACAGATAATTTTGGTCTACAGTCTAGATCTAGAGTCTAGAGTCTAGGCCTTAATATAGGCCTAGACCCTAAATAAAGTTGACACGTACGCACCGCGTACCGATGGTGCAACTACTATGAGCGAACGGATGGCACTGATGATAAGTAAAGCAATCAGGGTCCACATCTACTAAAGATTTTAACAAGAATTAATCCACTTGGATTATCAAAAAATCATGCTTCATAGATTATTTTAAGGTGTAACGTTAAATCTAGATTTAAACTCAATCGATGATTGGTGAATTAGATTCATGATGACGATCAAATCTGAAATAAAACTTGATTTGAAAGTTTGATCTTGATGCAAATGAGCACCGAAATTCCCCGCAGTGGGCCTGCCGAAACCCCGGGTCCCTAACTGGAGTACTAGGGTGAAATGACGGCAAACCGCAGTCAAACTACTTCATGACGATAAAAATCAAAGTGCAATTTCAAGAGCAATATTTTCCTAGTGTTTTCCCAAACAATCTGTTGAGAACTGTCTCAAAATGAAACAAAATTACCGTAGATCACGAAGAATATTGTAGCTTTTTCAAAATTGATGACTAAATTCACTTAAACTACTCATATTTCAATCAATTACTCACCCATTCTCAATGAACTAAATCTTCTCAGTTTGTGCGAGTGTAGTAGCGTCGTGCATAAATCTGCATAATTAAAGTGACGCAATGAGGTCAAATATATTATCCGGTTTCTTAAACGATACTATCGATAAAATACATATTCATGAGGCTCTTATCCAATCAAAAAGCCGCCTCGGGTGCTTATTTTGTCTTCAAATGATCCAAAAGAGGCGGAGCCTAATCCCATTCGTCTGCATGGTTTCCGCGCGTGCTGCTTTCCGTCTAGTAATTATATTTAAACGTCTTTGCCCTAAACACTAAAATGCACCAAGGCCAAGGGGCATCATCGCCATCGGGTAATCCGTTTTTCGCATCGCCCATGCAGATCAGAAATGAGAATCGTCTGCGAAAATGCGGACGATCCTGATTTTTAAGGATGCGTCTGTCCTCATTCACGAAGACGATCTAGATCTACGTTTGTGCTGACGATCTTTATTCTCGGACTCGGGCCAGCGCGCCCTATTTGGCTGCTGTAATTAGCGTGATTACCATCACATCTTCAGGGTTTTTAGGCCATATGCGTAGTTATCATAGCTCATTCTCATTCTCAGACTCTCTCAGACTCTCTCTGCATGCACACAAATTGCAGCAATGGCCAATGCCCGTGCGTGCAGTGCATGAGCCAGTGATGGGAACCCCGCGCCCGATGGTCCGTTGATGACCGGTGCGCAAGCCCCCATCTCCGATCATGATCACCGACGTGCAATTAATTATTATGCATAATTTTGGTCATCATTATTTAACACTAGCAAAAGTGTACGAATCGTGGCAAAGCATCACTAGATTCCAATAATCATTATCATTCTCACAAACTAATCACTTGTTAAACTTGATGTTCAATTAATAAATGTGCATACCTTGTAAAATAGAACACCCGAGATCAAATGTAGTGAGCATACACGTTCAAATTTCCGGTAATTTGGTGGATGTGCGCAGGCGCGAATGACTGATAGGTCAAAGTGCAAGTACTAAACTTGTCATGTGACCAAAGTTCCTCCAATGACAACACTCGGCAGGGAAGTCATAGGAACGTTGGCCCATCCACTGCTCTCTCACGAATTATTTCTTCTGTTAAATGTCGCAAATTCTGAGTTGATGCTGTAAATGTCATTTGTACCATTCGGCGTGTAGGATTTCAGGCAGAATCGTGGATTACTGATCGGATGTAAACATGAGTAGATCAACGCTGTAGGTCATTCAACAGATGAGTCATTCTCAATTTCCATAACCATTTCCAGGGCTTGCGTTATCGGCGGTATTGTTCTATTTGCCGAGAGGGTAAGTAACTATCCATATCAAATGTAAATGTCATATTAATTGTGGAATCAATGTGTAACATTTATGTTTTTTTAAATAAAGTAGTTTTTTTTTTACGAAAACCTGGTTTTGTTTCATTTTTTATTTTGTTTAAAGGAAATAAAAGATAATAAATATACTTTGTATTAAGGAATTGTTACCTATTATTGAATGGACTATTCCGTATATCTGACTGAACTTCCGGGTTTGGCACTTTGACTGTACGAACGTCTCCACCGAGGAATGCACCCGCGGCTCTGGGGAGTTGGTCGGGTCTGTCATGCCATGCAATACCCTGTTGAAGCCGAGCTGAGCGCGCGCGAGCCGAGGTACTGTCAGAAATATTTGCAGCAGCTAGCAGCTTATTCATTGTAAACAAAAACTTGTCAAATGTCCATCATTTGTTTATGAACCTTTACCGGCTTGTTTTCAAGGAGAAGTATACTCTCTACTTGAGCCTAGACCTACTGCTGGCCAATTAATTATTTATTTATTTAGACATCTAATAATTAGAGTTAAAATAAATAAAATAAAAAGTGAAATTATTTAATTTAAAGATGGGATTGGGAGATGTAGATCTAGTCTATCAAATTAAGTAACAAATTAAATTTAAACAAAATAAGACTATGACAGTCCCCAATTTCTTGAACTAGATCTAGGTCTAGAGTAGTAGAGAGTGCTGAACAAATTTGAAGAGACAAATTGTATGAAATTATGATGTTGACAACGCATCAAGAGTAAGTCAGTGACTAGACCGAAAGCTTCAGTCTCTATAATCGTCGGTTGTTCCACTGAGACTACGTCTGGCTCCACTAGACCTCCGGTTATAGAGACAGAACGATCGCCTATGCCAGCCTATGTTGAACTTATTCCGCTAGATTTTAGCCGTTAGGCCCCTCCCACAAACATGAACAAACTTGCCACGGCCGTATTGTTATGCCCCCAAAATCCCCCAAAATGTCATTTTACCTCGTTCATTTCCAATTTTAAATTAGGCCTAGGCTATAATACATCGGTTCCACTTACTAACTTGATTGATATAATCCGTTTAATGGTCCCTTTTAAGGAAATTATCGGTCAAAATCGACATCCATGTTGAAAATCTTGCAAGCCGTGTTAAACTCTCGCTGCCGTCAATCTCATCCCTTCTAGTCTACGCCGAAGGCAAAATGATTATGAAGGAAAAACTGTGCGCCATCTACACGTTCGTAATGGCGTTATCACAGTTTTTTTCCTTCATAATCATTTTGCCTTCGGCGTAGACTACAAGGGATGAGATTGACGGCAGCGAGAGTTTAACACGGCTTGCAAGATTTTCAACATGGATGTCGATTTTGACCGATAATTTCCTTAAAAGGGACCATTAAACGGATTATATCAATCAAGTCAGTAAGTGGAACCGATGTATTATAGCCTAGGCCTAATTTAAAATTGGAAATGAACGAGGTAAAATGACATTTTGGGGGATTTTGGGGGCATAACAATACGGCCGTGGCAAGTTTGTGGGAGGGGCCTAGCGGCTAAAATCTAGCGGAATAAGTTCAACACAGGCTGGCATAGGCAGTCGTTCAGTCTCTATAACCGGAGGTCTAGTGGAGCCAGACGTAGTCTCAGTGGAACAACCGACGGTATAGAGACTGAAGCTTTCGGTCTAGTCAGTGACACACGTTCGTTCAACAACACGGCTAAGCCTGAACTGAATCATCACAGAGGTCAGATCAGAGTCTTGGATTTTTAAGATCATTTTCATTTCTCTGTATGTAACAAGGACTGGATTTGAAACGTTGGACTTGTGAGGATTTTTACAATGGATTTAGCCAAACTTATGGAAGCGATAAGGAATCGGGCAGCTTCAGAAGGAAATATTGTTTATGAAAACAATCGCAGCAACGCAAGGCTTTCAACTACTTGTGAGTGCAGATGCATCATTGCGAGCTAATTGTCATGGGTTGAAAAGTTTGAGAATGAGTTGGTCATCGTGATCTGCAACTGCAAGATTTATTTCTTTTCTAAATTTAAAATGACGTTTCATACAGTACTTTTGTTTTGTATCTAGTGGCATGTTATTTCTTTATTTTATTTGTTTGTTTGTATTGTTTTTTGTTTTGTTTTTGTTTGAATGTGTTTATGTGATATCTACATGTACATGTACCGGTACATTGTTTGTAGATATTTTGTGCATCTTGAATCTTTTAAATGCAAATTAAAATTTAGTTCTTTAATTAAATATTTACTGTACTGTACATGTACAAGTTGAAATACATTGTACGTGTTGTCTAGCTAGGGAACCCTAATACCCTGTTCACACTGGTTTTGCTTAGCCCCGTACTAGCGCCTATTCCGGAATAAGAAAATTCAAGCTGTTCTCACTGCAATTCGTTAGCCCCGGATATCGTGAATGTTGTGATTGGACATACTTCACATCTGGCCAGCTGCGATAGGCTCCATTGCGTACAGTAGTACCAGACTATTTTTTGTTTCTGTTCTCATTCATTTGCTTGGCACCGCAATTGCAGGGTTAGCAGGAGTTAGCACCACAATTGCGGAGTAAGCCCTGCTATTTTGCAGGGTTAGTTAACCCCGTACTATAGGTGGGGTTAGCGAACTTTAGCCCACTTTGGTAAAAGCCAGTCTAAACAGAAAGTGGAATAGGCTTAACCCCATACTGTACAGTGTAGGTGAGGCTAAGACCCCCCCCCCCCTTAACCCCACCTATAGTACGGGGTTAAGCAAAATATTGCCAGTGTGAAAACTAAATAAGATCTGGCTATTTGTGTCAGTCGATATCAGTAGACTTCAACAATGATCACGGTCTGTAAACAAATAAGATAAAAGAAGATACCCTTAATTAACATCAAACTATAACATAATCCTCTAAAAACAGTATCTGTAGGCTACACATACAGTACATGTACATTGTACAAGCATGTACATGCATGTACATGTATGTGTGCTTTAAAATTTAAGCCAATAATACATGTACTTCATTTGAGAGAAAGATTAAATCTTCATTTGATAGAAAGATTTAATCAAACGTGATTTCTCATTGCATATTTTGTTTTGTTTGTGCCGAATAGCAGTTTACAGTACAAACACATACAGTGTACTTGAACCCACATTTGTAACTTTGTACATGGTTCTCCTATTAAGTACAACAGTCAGTGACCAGTCCTCCCTTACAAGAAGTTCAGTATTTGTTTACCTTGTTTTCTAAATTTGAATTTCTAAATATTACAATGTATTTCCTAACATTCATATACAATGTAGTTGGATAGAGATCTCTGCTGTTGGTAGGCCCTGTGATATTTTGTTCACCTCTTATTTGAATGTGTTGCAGACCCTACAGTACATGTAGAGATACAGTATGTGTAACATCATTGTTCAGTTGCTCAACTTTTCCTGCCTTTACAGTACAGTATATACCTTTCTTTTCATGTAAATTAAAAAATAATGCAGCTAAAGTTTACAGCATACAGTATGAGAAGTGATTACAGATCCATTTTCATGTGTCATACAAGTACCGTTTACTGTTTACAAAATAATGTAGATACCACTGTAGGTTTCTTACAAGTTACATGTGTACCTCATCTGTTATTTTGTACATATTTTTACATCATTATCTTGAACCTTTATATACAACGTGTGCATGTTGAATTATTCTCTCCAAACCATTAGTACTTTGCATGATCAGTGTTATATTTTGTTGTATCTTCTTTTGTCTCCTTCCCTGTCTTTCCCCTGCAGAGCTCTATCTCCATCTATTTTTGAGTTTTGAACTTTGACCCCCAGTCCAGTAGGGGAATCCCCCCGACTCTCCAGCAATCATGTCTGAGATCAAGGATAGAAGTAGGTCACGATGGACCTTCAGGTCGTGGCGGATGAAGTCCATGAGGAAGAAAAACAAGAACAGGCAACAGCCTTCAAGTATTATAAATATTTTATATTTTTCTGTTTGTTTCACATATATCTTCATATTATCTTGCAGCACTCACTTTTCTCATCCATTTCCACCAATAAAAGACTGACCCTACTTCTACAATCTATTCCTACTATTCTGTTTCCCATTCATACACACTTACCCAGGCGCCCACACTAATATACCGGTATATTGACAGTGAAATGTATAGATTCATCGGCCCCTAACCTTCATCATGTGATTTGTATTTCTAACATTGTACACTGTACATACATGTACAATATACAGTAAATATTGACATTCATAGAATTAAAACCCAAGTACAACATACAAACATGTACAGAGACACACACCAAACCGACATTGCCGGGCACTCTTCTTTCTTTTTTTTTCCTTTCTTTCTTTTCTTTTTCGTTTACAATTTCTTCATTTTCAATATGTAATTTCTATTTCTATTTCTTTTTCATTACTATAACTTTTTACATTTTCAAAGTAGTACATGTAAATGGCTGTCCATGTAGCACATGTACATGGCTGTCCATGTAGCACTACTTGCAATATACTGTACAATATGTGTAACTGTAATTTTTGTGGTGATGGATTTCTAGTGTTCAAACTTTCGGTCCACAGCTCGGACCTCACAATCCTGTGCTGCTTCTATCACAAGCCTACTAACAGAATTTAGTTAATTAGCACAGTGCTCACTGCTCAATAATGCTATTGTCTAAAAATTGTGCTGTGTATGATTATTTTGATGTTTTTTCTCCTCTGCAAAAACTCTTTTATTCTTCACATTTGTGTGCTAGTACTGACATGTAGACTAAATGTTAACTTTTAAAATCAATTGCACAATTTGTGGTATTAAGCTGGAATAATAACACATCTAGGTACTGTACTGTCATCAGTGGGGGGGGGGTAGGGTATTGTTTTGTGGTGATATTTAGTTGCAGTGTAGCCTGCAGGCAATGTAGATTTTTCTCATTTTGACAAATAAAATATTTATTATAAAAATATGCATTTGTTATTATTGTTATTGATTCAATCACCTACATGTACAGTGTATATAATTGACCCTCCATTGTACATTTTAAACTGCATGGACATTGCATGGCATGGAATTGAATTAAAACTAGAATTTTTAATGCTACATATTCTTTAGAAGTTTAGTATCCCTTGATTTTCTTTGCATTATTCACAAGCATGCATGAATGTGATTGGGATGTTTGACCAAACCTCAGTAACATGTTCATGAGTTGGGGATACATGTGTATGTTTGTCTTCCATTACAATAATGCTGTTCCCAACTGCTAATTCATTGGGGAAGAGTCTGATCACTCTGATGACTTTTCAATATCTCTGTTCGCTCAGTCACTAAGGCGTCTGCCTGTGGAACCAAAGATCATGTGTTCAAATCCAACCCAGGCAGATGACTGAAGCCTGCGCTGTGTGTTAACGTGCCCCTTCCCTGTTACATACTGTAGACACTGGCTATGTTACAGTGGAAAACACTCTGTACCTCAGATAGGATGTATAATGGAGGCCCTGTGTACATGTACATGTACATGCATAAGGACAATGTACACTGTATGTTGTTAATTTGGAATGGACAGACATACTTGTATACATGTACATGTAAAGCGATTAGGCAAGGCTACATTGACAAACGTTTCTCTGTATCCAATTAATGACAAACCAGATATCTTATATTTATATAGGATTATTCAGTAAGTATTTGGCAAATGAAGATTCTGTACGTGCAAGTGTTCCAGTATGATGTCTTTTTTTCTTTTGATATTCTGGTAGACAAATAAGTAATGGTGGTTTCTTCCATTACTCATCGAGGCAATTCTGAGATATTTTTCATTCATTGATCAATGTACATGTACATTGTACATGTACATGTAGGTCATATCCATGGGACCCTCACTCTCACAAAATCGCCATAGGCAAAATAAGCATAAAAGCTAGTGTGTTACTCTGCTTCACATCTCTATACATGTATCTCATAACATGTTTTTGAGAAAGCAGAAGACCTTTGTTGTGCAGAGCTACCGTAATTAACGGTGTATAAACCGCCCTCATGTATTAACCGCACCCCTCTTTTTCGCCCTAAAAAAAAATAATAACTGCGAGGTGCAGCTGAATGTGTAAGATCATTAATGTAAATTAAAAAACAATAGAGTACCTAGGATAGAACCTTGTGGTACACCATTTGTTATAGAGAGAAAAAAATTGAGGAATTATTATTATAAACTACATATTGAGATCTATTAGAAAGATTACTTTCAAACCAAGATGACAGACAAACTTGAGTGTTGTTGTAGTTTCTGAGTGGTGAGTCAACACACTGATTACTGAGCTGGGAGACATTGCCAGGCATAGCGCCATAAATCGAAACTAATTTTTTTTTTTTTTTTTTTTTTTCTGTACCTGTGTATACATGTAAGTCGCACCCCGGACTTTAAATTTTTTTCGGCGGCAAAAAAAGTGCGCCTTATACATGGAGATTTACGGTACATGTATCTCATAACATGTATTTGAGAAAGCGGAAGACCTTTGTTGTGCAGACCTACACATACCGTACTTTTATATGTTCCCTCCCCACCTGATATTCAACTCATTGAAGAACTTGATTGCAGTTTTGTTAGCGGGACAAACAGTGTGTCCAGTAAATGTATGTGAATAAGCCTTGATTGCAATATACACACATTTTATACAGTGTAAATGTACATGTTCATACATATAAATTACATACATGCCAACTGTTCAGATTAAAGAGGAACATTCCTCTTTTTGGGAGAAGATAATTATCATTTTAATGCAGGTGTTCCTCTTCCTGTACAAATTTGTCTGTAGTATTGAATAGGAGAGTTAGGATTGTTCCTTTTTTTTTTTTAAATAGCATAATTTGTACAGATTTCTGATTTTCAAATGTTGGCATATGTATGAAATTATAATGTCCATCTTCATGTAGCCTACATGTACATGTACATGATTAGATCTTGTCTCTGAGTAGACCGCCTGTAGCAGACGTACACTGTACGCAGGCATGCATGTTCGTACAATGGACACTTTTAGGCAGGGTTGCAGGAATATCTTGTCGATGCCTGCTGCTACTGGAGAAGAAGAAGAATCCATTTCTCGTTGTCAAGTGCATTTTAATGATGCATGTTTTCTGAGCCATGTTTATCTTTTGAATAGCTGGCATTCAGAAGGTACCAGCTTTATTCTTGTTTTATTTAATTAGGAATTCCCACCGTGATTGATGAGGGAAGTAAATATCAGTTGACAGGATGGTTTACAAAACCTTCAGGTGAAATAACACCGAGGTCACGCTGGGTGATTTCATTTGGAGGTAGACCAAAGTGATTGTTTGAGTGTGAGAAATGAAATATAGGCAGGTATACATGTACTGTATATCATTAAGGGTATGTTTATGCTCAACTTTTTCTGGCCAGAATCAGGCATCTGTTACGCTTTTAGTTCAAAACACGGTTGCGTCCTTTCTCCTTTTTGTAGAATCACCAAAAAACGGCGATCACGATGGCCGATCGTAAACTCACAAAAAGGTGCGTTTACGATCGGCGATGCTGCAAAATCAGCGATTCTGGGAAGCATAAACGCACAATCATTTGCAAACGCGTTTAAATGGGGTCAACGCACTGATCTCTAGTGGGTCTACGTACAGTAGCATGCGCAGTGCAGGTTTGCGAATCCAGCTGCAAGGCCACCCAGCCAGATTTGCCTGGAGGAGCCAGAGAAGTGAGCATAAACAGTACACCGTGGAACTGCGATTATGATGAGCGTTTACGATGAGCGTTTCAGATCGCTCATTCTACCTTCAAAATCAAGCATAAACGCACCCCAAGTTAAACACATTTTACTGATAAGAAGGGCCTTGGGCTTGGCAAAAGTAGCCATTTAACTAAGATTTGTTTGTTTGTTTTCTTCAGGGGAGGGGGGGGGGACTTTTAATACTTCACATTTTACAACTGTATGCATGTACACTGTACATTACATGTAAAAACTAAAGGGTTCATCTTCTCTTATTCAAAACAGAAAACGAAAGTTGCAATGTACACATGTTCAAAAACTTCCCATGATAACAGTAGTTTCGATAAAAACTATAAATAATGATTTATTACAGGAAGCTCTTGTTTTGTGCCAGTTTCTATTCTTGTACACTATGCTCCTTGTAAAAATATGACAGTCATAGTCAAAGTTTAAAGGGGAAGTTCATCCTGATATCGAGTTTTAATAGAAGCAGGACAAAATGAGAGGAACATGCCAGTGTGAGCAAAAACTGATTGAAAAGAAGAAAGTTATGATTTTTGAAGTTGTCATCAGTGAAACACAAATTGGCAACACTGGGACGTACATGTATCTTGCAAGGTCCTCTCTAATTTGCTCCGTACAGAATATTTCATAAAGTTTCATTTTCTTTAATTTAGTTACATGTAGACTTGTTTAGTGTGAATGCATGCTTGAAAAAGTATAAAGGTATGAAAAAATAGGGAAAGTATTTATTGTCTCACCCTCGTACAGACAACTCCCACTGAGAATACAGAGAAACATAATAGAAATGACTATCCCTGCATTAGATGTATTCAGACTACCAGAATTCATTGTATACATACACTGTAGCTATCATGATATGATAGGTATTGACATTCTCTTTAGTCTGAATGGCTCATAAAGAAACATTGTAGACAGAATAGTGAAACGCATACTCGATTGTCGTTTCAAACAAAAACATTTAAAATATTGTATCGTACAAGATTTATCTATTAAACAGGACCTGTCGTGATTGGCCATATGTCATGTCAATCAAATTAGTTTCTCTTTATACAGTTAATAACGTTTCTTTTGTAGGATGCTGTTTTCTAGTCTGTACTCTGAATTTTGTACACAAAATTTCTTTGTACAAGATTGGGTTTAATTTCTTTTTATAGTTTGAACAGGCTGTGAGATGTATGGAAATAAATCCAGAGCATTGAAAATAACAAAT